TCCTCAAAGGTGCAATCCGCCCTGCCTTCCATGGTGTTCCCTCTACTGGGATTCCCTTCCACAGCGCTGATAGTCCTTTGCACAGAGTACAGGTGTGAAGGTCCTTGTGACCCTGATCCAGAGCCTGAACCAGAGACGCTGTGCTTGGGGGCAAGGAGACCGCTTCGGTGCTTTAGGTGTTGAACTCATGGGGCTTTGGGCGGCTAAGGGCCTCGTCCAATATCAAAGGAACTTAAAAAGGCCGTCCCTTACTGGCGAGGTACCCCTGACTTCTGGGACAAAGCACCAATGGAACCAATCCAGAAAAAGGCTCTCATTGTCCAGGCCATCTTGGTGTACAACAGTCAAAAACACGGTACAAATTAGCAGGAAGAAGTGAGAGTCAAACGAAAGAGATGGAGGGAAACTGTCAACCCCGGGACCCCGGGACCCCGGGACCAGACCTGAACACGCCCGACAGGATCTGAATGGGCGCAGCGGGCAGGCGGCTGGCGCGAAGGGTGTGAGGCCTCAAACTTGCGAGCTCCAGGAGACACGGTGCGATCGTCACACTAAACCCCAACCTCTCAAGATGACCCTCGGCCACCAGAAGTTCACACAACAAACTTATGGACTTTGGCGAATCAAACTTACGAAGGAAGGGTTGTGTCGGATTCATTATGGAAAATTTTCCATTAAACTGACTAACACAAAGGGTAGTTAAAGCTTTCATAACTTGGAAAATTACTTTGCAGCCCACTTTGCTCAGTAAGATGCAACCCTGGCCACGCCCGATCATGGGCCCGACCATGGCAGCTCTTAGTGGGGAAGCTTTGATTCCGAGAGGTCTAGGCCAGGCCAGGCCAGGCAGTCTCTCCAGAGCTTGGTCCTCTCTCCTCGGTCATTCCAGAAGAGCCCAGACCCCACTCTCCTGCCAGAAGAGCAGCCTGGCTCTCACCCCCAGGCAGGCAGGTGTCCCCCTACCCAGAGCAAGTCCCCGAAGGTGGGGAAGCCGGTGGGGTCCTGGGCGGGCCTGGGGACACACATGGTTCTTGGGGCAGCTGCTGTCCCTTGATTCCTTCCTTTTTTCTTCAAAGTTCGTTTTGTTTTTTATTAGAATTATGCATGCACATAGTTGAAAGAGCCATCTTTCAACTATCCCCAACTCCCCTTCCCTAGAAGCAGTCCCATCAACCCCTTTAATGGATTTTTCTTTAGTATGTATGTTCATATTTCTAAGTAACACACTTACACTGTTAAGTTGGAATTTTCTTTTTTTGAGTTGGAGTCTCACTCCATCACCCGGGCCGGAGTGCAGTAGCACCCACCCCAGCGTTGACCTGCTCGGTTCTGGCGACCCTTCCGCCTCAGCTTTCCAAGTAGCCAGAACTACAGGCGTGCGCTACCACACCTGGCTAATTTTTTATTTATTGTGGAGACGAGGTCTCGCCAAGTTGCCTGGGCTGGTCTCAAACCCCTGGGCTCAGGCAGTCCACTTGACTCGGCCTCCCAAAGTGCTGGGATGACAGACTGAGCCCCCGAGCTCGGCCTAGTTGGCGTTTTTTTCCAAGTACTATTTATTGAATTCCCCACATGAAGGATGAGAACGTTGCCATTTTAGCCTTCCCCGTCGAGACACGGGGCTCTGACTGCTTTTGAACCCAGCTTCCAGACAGTTCTCTTATATTCCTGGCTTTCCCGACTCCCAGAGGTCTCAGCCCCAGGTTCAGAGCCGGGGTCTTCCCTGTGAGTCAGGTCACCGCCGCCAGCTTGGAGTCCAGCTTTCCTGAGAGTGCAGCTAAGCCAGTTATCCCTTGGCCAGCTGCTGCTTAGTTCCCAGACTCCTGCTGCTCTCATTTTCCTCGTCCTTACGGGTTTCTGCCTGTAAAAAACCCCTTCCTGTTGTCTTAACAGGCGTTTAGAAGGGAACTAAACGCATGTGTTAATTTACCATCTTTAGCAGGAAGGATGCCATTGATTTCTTTGTTTTTCTCCACCAGAGAACAATTTATTTCCTCCTGGACCACCTTCCTATCCTCCACGAAGCAGATCAGTTCAGTGGCTAGAAAGGAAGTGAGCATCTAAACACAGGCTCCAGCTCTGGCCATTGAAAGAAAGAGACAGCTATCAGAAAGTGGGGGGGGGGGATTTCCCCTGGGAGAATCTGGTAAATCTTTGACCAACTTTTATACATTTCACCCCACAGCAGCCAGACCCACGTGCCCCACCTAACCCCTAAAGGGGACCTCAATGGCACAGCCAGGAGTCTGGACTTGCCCAAACGGGTGCCCTCTGTAACATGGGATTGGAGGTGGGGTCTCACTCCTTGCCTCCGCTGCATTGTTTCAGTGAGGTTCTAACTAATAAAAATAGACATTTGTTTTACAATTTGAAATACTTCTCTCTCGCAGCGCGTTGGTGACCCACATCTTTGTGGAGATGAAAGTTCTGCAAGCAGAAAGCAATTACCTGTCAGAAGTAAAACCTTATGCCAATGCCCTTTGAGTCCAATACAAATGAGCAGTTTTCTTGTGACTAACGACCATGTCCTTCTAGTAACTGTGAACGTGAGAAACAAGATCGAAGCACTCTAAAATAAGTCCTCGGGATAGCAGAGGGGCCATGTAGGGTTCAGCAGAAGCTGAGAAACAATCTTTGTGTGCTGCTGAAGGTCTTCAAACCCTGAGCAGCTGGAACCATTACACCGTGGTCATCCCTTCCACACACAAAAAAACCCCGGGAGACCAGACTCTCCGCTTTTCCAGCATCAGGAAACACATCCCTTACGGAAATCAAACAGGTGAGCAGCGGAAAGCTACATTATGCTGACAACTGCCAAATGCCATAAACCCATGAATTTGCAAAGAATTGACTATGACTCAAACGGGTAAATTCAGCAATAGTTCTTTCCTCTGATCAACTGTTTTTTCAAATTGCACCAAGTCCACCATCTTCACAGCCACACATGCATTTAATGGAATTTAACACTTAGTTAAAGTCAAATCACATTTAGTCAATTAATATTTGAGCGACTGACTACTCTGGCAGAATGTTGGAACAGATGTCATGAGGGTAAAATGCAGAGTCACTCAGCAGATGATCTCGGTGTCGTAGGAGGTTCTGATCTGTTCTGTAGATGGAGTGTGTGCATGAAAGACACAGTGGCTGAAGAAGCCCTACCCGCAGAAGCAAAGAAATGGTCCGAACAGACGAATGGCGAAGGGAACCTAAATCCTGGCGTCGTGAAAGGTCTCCTGGAAGAAGCAGCAAAGTCCAGACTGGCAGAGAGGACGGAAGGAGAAGTCCCGCCCGAGGGCTGGCCAGTGGAAGCCTGGTGAGGCGGCCACACGTGGAGCTGGGACGACAGCCCGAGGCGGAGAGGGATGGCTCACTGCCCTCGCCCTTCGTCCTCAACCACTGCCAGCTGCCTCCCAGTCGGAGACTCTGCACACCGTCGTTGCTGTCAGTACCTTAAAGCACAGTGCCTCTCCTGGTTTGCTCAGACACCCATGTTTCCCACTGCCTCCTAAACCAAGGTGAGACTCCCCCAAAACACACTGTAAGTACCCAACGTATTTACTGTTGGCTGTGACATCTGTCACCTTCTGGATCATCGGGTTGATCAGGCTGGGGAGGCGGGCGTCCCCTTCCGTGCCACGTGTGTCTCTCTCCAAGCATATTTCCCTTGGTCGAAGAAGACGCCCTTCCTGGGAGAGGAGGACCGGCCTTTGGGCAGGGTCTCGAGCAGCTGCACCCCCGGTTGGAACCTCCAACAAGCTCTCAAGACATTTACTGTGCCACTTCCATATCCCCTATTCCATCTGAGGGCTCCAGAAGGCTGGATTTTTGGTATGCAAGAGCTACGAAGACCTTATGCACATAGGAGTTCAAAACGTATTCATCAAATGAATGAACAGGTGATTTAATGAACACGTTTCACATAACACTGGTAACATGGCGGCGGCCAGTTAGTAAATGACCTCGCTCCTCTTAGCAGTCAGGAGCTCGGGTTTGATACAAGAGATGCTGGGATGCTACTGGATGATTTTGTGTAAGGAAGTGACGTGATAAAGATGGTGTCTGAAGAACTTGCTTTAGTTGTAGACTGTCAGGAGAATGACCCTGGGAAGGCCAAGTGGGCAGAAGATCTCTTTGCTAACAATATTTTGCTGACAAAGATGAGTCAAGCAAGGTGAGGATTTTGGAGCCTGTGGATTAGTTACTGATGTGAATATTCTTTCAATGAACACTAGGAAAGAACATTGTCACACATGCTCTTACCTTCAACCTATTTTAAATAAGTGCATTTCTGAGATAAGAGAGCATTTGTTTTCAAGGTAGGTAATAGTTATAGCATCTTGATTTTAAAGAAGAGCAACCCCAAAAACCTTAGAAAGTCAGGACTGGTATTCTTATTTATGACTCAAAAATATTCTCCGTACTAGCATCTTCTAAACTGACACTCAGAAAATTAAAAGAATTCCATTTTGTTTATTTTTATTACAACACAGGACACTTAATTTTTTGGTTTTACCATGGTTAAAATTAACTAGACAGTTGCTTAGGTAAGTAGAATTTTACAATTTAGGATAACATTTGGATGTTAAATTACCTAACGTTTAGCACTTGAAAATCCCAGTGCTCTAAAAGGTGTCAGGGTGTCGTGACAGGTGCGGTGAGTCCTGGATGACCGGCAGGTTTAGCAGCACGTGGCACCAGGCCAGAGATCAGTGCAGGGGGCCTCCAACTTGATTGTACAAGAGAAGGTCCTGAAAACTCCTAACAGTTGCTAATTCCCAGCCCACTTCCAGACCAACATGGCTGCATCCTGAAAGCTCCCTGCAAGGTAAGTTTCCTATCCTTGGCGGATAACCTCTGAATGCATACTTTCTTTAGCCATAGAAAAATAATTTTCACATCTGATTTCCTTGATATACTATCGAAAAGATGAAACGGTTTCGGGGCAACAGACTTAGGAAGTTACTACTTATCTCAAAGAAAGGAGACAGACGTTCACTCACCGGCCTTCTGACAGTGCACGATCTTCTCATACACGGCATCTGCGTTTTCGATCAAGGCCTTGAGGGACTGAATCATCTGTAAAGGGAACATCCAGACATGAGCTCGCACCTGACACCAGACACCCTCCCGCATGGCGCTTGAGACTCCTCCCTACAAACAGGCTGGGGGGTGACTCCATTTGGTCCTTTGGATTTCCCCTGACTCAGGCTCAACTGCGGATGTGAAAAGCGAGAAGGCTGCACATCTGCACGCGATGGTAGCAGACAGCAGTACCTCCAGGTGGTGTGAGGCTAGTACAGCACTGAACTTGAAGCTTGAGCCGATACAGAACTGAGCTCATTTCGGTGTGAAAGCTACCACTAAATATGTGTGCATATCTGATTCGAATCCTACATCATATTTTTGTTTCTCCAAAGTAACAAAATCTTCAACTTCATCTTCTAGAAAGCCTCAACACCTACACACTTCACCCGTTTCAGTCACAATGCATTCATCTTTAAATCAGTTTTTAAAAGGGAGAATAAAAAATCGCATTTATTTGATACCATTCATCACTAATGATACCTCCCCAACTAGCATTTTTATGTTCCCCCATCAACCGTTTTTAAAGTGTTCAAATTTTGATTTCTTGTTCCAAATCGCATGTGCTCATTTTTAGAGCCTGAGTCTAAAGACGAGAAAGAACCAGGGCACACGTGATTAATCATTTTACTCACCAAAACACCAGAAAGAGCAGTCTCTGAAGCACGCCTGTTGGCTCTGACATCACTATAAAAATGGGGTAGCCAGATCCAGCTCTCATGGCCCAGGCGGGCAAAATTATACTTGTCTTAGTAGAAGTACTAAATTTTTGTGTTTGAATGTGCAAATCTTTGCACAATAACAGTACCTATTTGACGTGACCATTCTATTTTAAATAACGCCCATCCATTCCTTTCAGTTCTGCTTTTTCTTTGTAGCATTTTTTTACTAACCCTCACCAGTAATTATTTTATAGTAGCTAAATATATGTAGTTTGAATTATTTGTATAACTCTGAGAACATCATATTTTACAGTTACACTCACTTTAACATACAACCAACATGTCTCTTAAGAAGCACTCTAAACCAGGCTCGGTGCTCAGCCTGTAATCCCACGCTTTGGGAGGCGAGGTGAGTGGACTGCCTGAGCCCACAGGTTCGAGACCCTCCTGGGCAACTTGGCAAGACCTCATCTCTACAATAAATCAAAAAAATTAGCCAGGCATGGTAGTGTCCGCCTGTAGTTCCAGCTACTTGGAAGGCTGAGGTGGAAGGATCGCCAGAGCCTAGCAGGTCAAGGCTGCAGTGGCCGGGAGCGGTCACTGCACTCCAGTCTGGGTGACAGAGTGAGACTCCAACTCAAAAAAAAAAAAAAGCACTCTAAATGCTTGAAGCCAGTCCTACAGCATTTATCAACTTCCACAGGTCTCATACAAACACGGTAAGCATAGGAAGCGAAGGCCAAAGGAGGCATTTATTTATGTCTTCACTGCATATCTTCATTACTAACGAGGAATCTACTGCAGGTGGCCCTGTGTGGGGACCAGGGTGTGGGCCCTGCAGAAATGGCCCTGTCCCCAGGAAGCCCACGCCCAGGGCAGAGCCTGCACTTTGGAATTCCAGCTCTTCAGATTCATTGTTCAAGATGAGTTACTCCTGTGAACTAAAAGATGCTATTTTGCAGGCGGACACACTGAGCAGGCAGTGATGCAGTCGACCAGCCCAGAAAGCCACCACACACAGAAATGGAGGCATTTGGCCCATCGCATGACCTGCATTCTGCAAAGGCTCATGACGTCATCAGAAGCCTTTCCGGCTCTGATGTCAAGCCAAACGGGAGCCAAGAGGAGGCGAGCCAGGATGGCTCTGTCACAGCCTGGCGTCAGAGAACTGGCCAACTGTGGCCCCACCCCCATTCGGACACGAAGAAGAAAACGCCACATGCAGGGCCACGAACCCGGTCACGAAGCCCAGGAGCTGCTCACCCTGCCAGCCACGTCCTCCTTCCGTCCAGCTGACAATTAGGACGGAAGGTAACGTGCGTGGCACTGAGGACCCAGCAGGGGCAACGTGGAGGTGCCGGGTGACCTAGCGGCGACCGGTCTCTGTCCGAGTCTGCTACTTTACAACAAGCCGTGTCTGAAAACAGCGCAAGCGTTGGCCGAATGACTTGAGATGGAGATAATCCACACTGGCTCGGATCTGTGCTTGGCACATTCAATTTCTCTGTCCACGTGAAGTGGGTGTTTATGGTGTCAGTTTTACAGACACGCACGGGAAGATCTGCCTGAGAGGTACCATCCTCACCAAGGTCACCTGGTACCCTAGGCAAAGGGACTGTCGTCAGGAAGTGATGGAACAGGTGGGTATTCCATGGGACCCCCAAACCTCGCTCTTCCACGATACCACGGCAAGGCTTGATGCACGCATAGCAATCGCACAAGTAAAGAGCAAAGGGCGTTCCAGCCAGAAGGATGCAAGAAGGCAGAAGGGAATTCTTCAGCTCCTGAAGGTACCACACGGCATGGCCACATCATCTCAGCCACAGACGCTGACCCGACATTGCTTGCTCAAATAATATTTCTAGAAAGCACTTGGAGAAAATATTTTTAAAGGAACAGTGATAAACGAATTACTTGGCTCCATTTCAAAATTCATTGTTACAAACGAGAAATCATTTCTATTTACTGTGAAGCTACTAGAATCAGCATCTCAGATGAGACAAAAGCAGATGTGTGAGGAAGAATATACCGAGATGAGCCAATGACAAAATTGCTCAAGTGACCCTGTTTTCTCTTGCGTGTTACATCATGTTGACAGAATGCGAGGCCAAGGAGGGTGGATGGCTTACAGGCGTGATCTGCGTTAATGCAAAAGCATGCATCTCATCAGCCCCTTGGAGCACAGGCATAAGACACCCTGGAGCACGGGCATAGGAACCCCTGGAGCCCGGGTGTAAGACCCCCTGGAGCACGGACGTAGGGCCCCTTGGAGCATGGTATGCGTCTTGGCACAGCAGTCAGATAACCCACTGCCGCCCGAGTAACCAGCCACAGGGATGCCTCTGTGGCTTATTCAGTGTGAGACGCTCTTATACGGTTGTTGCGAATGAACTTTATGATGGCGACCTATTACCTGCCACAGCGCAGAAATCAATTGCTTAAGTCTGATCACCTCCAGTTAAGGTTTTCATACAGGACTACAGCAGACGAGAAGCAGGAGATTTCAACGAAAGGCAAAGCAAAAATGGCAATGAATATTTTACTTGGCTGGAAAGCAACCAGAAAGGCCCTTCCCAAGAGTGCTTTTGGAAGTAACTCCCAGGTCAAGGTGAGGTAAACTTCTCTGTTTATGAACTGTGAGGAGGACGATTACTATGTTACACATCACACACTGACACATTGCTATAGCTTGACGGACTGCTCCTTCATTTCCTGGTTTGAAACTAGCTTGTCGACTCAGAAAATCCAGTTTTCGGAAGAAGCAAGTCTGTGGTTTTATATCAGGATCTCATGTCAGGCTCCGGACGAGACACTGAATCACCTTTCAGTTCAGGAACACAGATTTTCTTAATGGTTATAAAAGTAGTTTGCCCATAAGCTTGACTCCTTGGGTGAAAGACATTCTAGTGTTACTGTTTTCTGCGTTTTCCCCTTTACCTGGTTTTGAACTTCAGCTTCAGGGAGAAAATCCCCACCTCTTAGCCCCTTTCTTGGCCTGTCCCGTCCTTAACGCACAGACGAGGTGTGGCCACGGCTGTTTCTGCTGCAGCTGTTTCCGGTGAAGTTACAGTCTGAGAAGCCCCAAAGCTGTTCCAGAAGAGAACGGCTGGCTAGCAAAAGAGCTTTGTTCTTTCACATGGATTCTGTAATTACTTGACACACGACAAGTAAGCATCTTCTCAAACGCAAATAATTGAAAGATTCTCATTCTCAGTCACGCTGATGGATTCATAAAAAAGATGGAATCTACCCCGTCCCACCCAGAAGGCCCCGACTGCTAAAGTCACTTGGCGATCCACGTGAGGCCTCTGTGGACCAGCAAATGCCCGGGGGCGGGGGTGGCTCGAGGCGCCCAGAGTGGCCTTGGGAGGACAGGACTGAAGCGGGACTTGCGTCTCAGGACTCCGGGGACGATCGCAAAACGGCAAACGTGACTTGGATCAGTCTTCAGAAGACAGGAGTGCCTTCTGTCCACAGGAGCATCTTCCCGTCTCACTGGAATTTTCTGTGTTCCCTTCAACACTCGGCATTGTCAGTAGGATGGTATTAAGAGGCAGGGCCTTCACGAGGTCATTAGGCCATCAGCTTCTCCCTCGTGAATGAGCTTCAGGCCCTGATAGAAGAGGCTTTGCTCAGTGTCAGCCGGCCTGCCTCTCCAATGCAACCAGAAGACCCTTCCCAGCTGCCCCCACCTCAACCTTGAACTCCCCAGCCTCCAGAACTGCGAGGAACTAAATCTCCACATCTATAAATTACCCAGTCTGTAGCATTCTGTCATCGCAGCACGAAATGGACGAAACCGCCTAGAAAGCTCTGTGTCTCGGTGGGACGGGCAGCCCACCGCAGCCTCCAGCGTGACAGAAAGCAGGTGCAAAATGCCCTCAGGAGCCCGTGGGCATTTGTGCTTTTTTTCTGTGCTCCTGAAAGAAGCGCCTCTCTGAGCTCACAACATACTCTTTCTCTTAAATGCTTTCCAATAATTATGACTTTGTAGGCGAAGAATTGTGGTTTGCTTCTAAAACACTGGGGCTCGGGACTGCTAAACTGAAATTCAGAGGTCAATGTTCCTTTCCCCAAAGTTTCCCAGTAGGGCAAAGTGCCACAAAGTTGAGTGAATGGAAGAGGCACCATTATAAGGTTATTGCTGGAAAACACAACGCAGCTTCTAAAACTTGAACATAAGGGAAGAGCCACACGTCGGAGCTGAACTGCAGGCCATGGCCGTGGGGTGTGGCCCAGCTGGGCGCTGATGAGGCCAGGATCCCACCCCTGCAGGGAGGGCAGAGGCTACCTCCAATCAGGGCCCGGGGCTTGCCACGTCACTCAGAGCTG